GTGGGCTGCGGGAGGGAGGAGCTTACAAGTATGCAGGGTGCGTTTGGAGGGGCTACAGTACTGCAGGGGGTACTCTGGAGGGAGGAAGCACAGTACTGCAGGGTGCTGCTGGAGGGAGGGAGCACAGCACTGCAGGGTGCTGATTGGAGGGAGGAAGCTACAGTACTGCAGGGTGCTTGCTGCTGGAGGGAGGAGCTACAGTACTGCAGGGTGTGATGGGAGGGAGGAGCTACAGTATGCAGGGTGCTGCTGGTGGTAGGGAGGAGCGGAGCTACCGTACAGCAGGGGTGCTGCGGGAGGAAGGACGCTACAGTACTGAGGGTGCTGGCTGGAGGGAGGAGCTACATACTGCAGGGGTGCTGGGAAGGGGCTACAGTACTGCAGGGTGCTGCGGCGGGAGGAGCACAGTACTGCAGGGTTGCTGGGAGGGGCTACAAAGTATGCAGGGTGCTGCTGGTGGAGGGAGGGAGCTACAGTACTGCAGGGTGTGCTGGAGGGAGGAGCTTACGTACCTGAGGGTGCTTGCTGGAGGGAGGAGCTTACAGTAAGCAGGTGCTTGCTGGAGGGAGGAGCTACAGTACTGCAGGGTGCTGGGAGGGGCTACAGTACTGCAGGGTGCTGCTGGAGGGAGGAGCTACAGTACTGCAGGGTGCTGGGAGGGGCTACAGTACGCAGGGTGCTGATGAGGCTGAGGAGGAGGAGTACATACTGAGGGTGCTGCTGGAGGGAGGAGCATCATTACTGAAGGGTGTGCTGGAGGGAGAGGAGCTACAGTACTGCAGGGTGATGCTGGAGGGAGGAGTACAGTACTGCAGGGTGCTGCTGGAGGGAGGGGCCTACAGTACTGCAGGGTGTGCGGAGGGGGAAATACAGTATGGGAGGGGTGTGTGGGGGGAGCTCCGACTCAGGGGGCGCTGAGGAGGGTACATATGCGGGTGGGCTGGAGGGGGGGGCCCCAGTTTGCGGGTGCTTGGGAGGGGGGGGTACTACTGCGGGTGCTGGGGGAGCACGTACGCAGGTTTGGGGGGGAGCTTATGCAGGGTTTCGGTGGGGGAGGACTACAAAATGCGGGTGCTGGGAGGACTCATTGCGGGTGCTGCTGGGGGGGAGGGGCTACAGCACGAAGGGGCTCTGGGGGGGGAGGGTACGTCTAGGTGCTGATGGGGGGGACTACATACTGCAGGGTGCTCGGGGGAGGATCTACGACTGTGGGTGTGCTGGGGGGAGGAGTACAGCACTTAGGGTGTGCTGGAGGGGGGAGCTACAGCAGCGGGGGCTGGAGGGAGGACTACGACGGGGAGGGTGTCTGGAGGGGGAGCTTTTTAAACAGCACTGTAGGGTGTGCTGGGGAGAGGAGCCCCCCTGTAGGGTCTGGGGGGGGGCTACGTACGCGGGTCTGCGGGGGGGGAGGAGCTACAGACTGCAGGGTGTGTGGAGGGCCTTGGGAAGCCAACAGTGGGCACAGCTTTTTCTCAGAGGCTTCACTCTAAAAAACCCCGCCAAGGGGGAAAAAAGGGAGAAAGAAGGGAGAATAGAGAGAGAGAAAGAAAAATAGAGATAGAGAGATAAGAGAAGGAATAGGATAGAGAGAAAGGAGAGAAAATAGAGAGAATAGAAAGAGGGAAAAGAAAAAGAAAAAAGGGAAAGGGGAGAATGAGAAGAGGGGAAGAAGAAATAGAAAGGGTGAGAGAAATTTAAACAGCCAATATAAAATTTATGGGTTTAAAAGGCTTCTTGAATTCAAATAAAAACGAGGGGGGGGAAAAGGCTTACCCCTAAAACAGAGGGGGAAGAGCTGTACCCTAAAAAAAAAAGGGGGGAAAGCTGAGCCCATATAAACAGAGGGGGGGGAGCTGCAGCCCTATTAATAAAAAATATATAATTTCCTTTAGACGCTTTTATCCAAAATTCTCATAAACAGAAGGGAAACAGCACCCCTTAAAAAAATTTGGGGAAAGGGCTGCAACCCCATTAACAGAGGGAAAAGCTGCAGCCCATATAAACAAGGGAAAGCTCAGCCCAAAAACGAGGGAAGGCTGAGCCCCATAATTGAGAAAGAGTGCGTGTATATTATATTCAAGCCTTGGGTAGATCAACAGATTCTATAATTTCATTTTATTCTCAGATTTTTCCCACCCCACCCAGGGCCCCGGGGTTTTCGGCCTTTTTAAAGGTAAAAATCGGGTTTTTTCCCCAAGGGGGAAAAAAAAAGCAGAAAAAAAAAAAAGAAGGGGAAAGGGGGGGGGGGAAAGAAAAAAAAGAA